TCTCTAATTAGTAGTGATTTAGAGCATTTTTTCATATGACTATAGTTAGCTTTAATTTCTTCATTTGAAAACTGCCTGTTCATATTCCTTGACCATTTATCAGTTGGGGAATGACTTGTGTTCTTATAAATTGGACTCAGTTCTGTATATATTTTAGAAACGAAGCCTTTATCAGAGATACTGGCTATAAAAATAGAAGAAATAATAAGGAAATGCTGATGATTTATGTGGGTTTATCTTACATTTTGCAACTTTGCTAAAGTTGTTAATTGTTTGTAGCAGTTTTTTAGTTGATTCTCTAGGATTCTCTTGTGTACCATCATATCATCTGCAAAGAGTGATAATTTTGTTTCCTCATTTCCTATTCTAATTCCTTCAATTTCTTTTTCTCCCTTTATTGCTATAGCTAACATTTCTAATACTGTATTGAATAATAAAGGTAATACCAGGCATACTTGCTTCACCCAGATCTTATTGGGAAGGCATAAAGTTTATCCCCATGCTTGCTAATGGTTTTAGATAGATACTGCTTATCACTTTAAGGTCCTTTGCTGTCTTGTGTTTTCAATTGGAAGGAGTACTGTATTTTGTCAAAAGCTTTTTGTGCACCTATTGAGATAATCATCTGAATTCTGTTGGTTTTGTTATCAATACAGTCAATTATATTGATAGTTTTCCTAATATTGAACCATCCTTGCATTCCTGGTGTAAATCCCACCTGGTCATGGTATATGTTCCTTGTGATATATTGCTGTAATTGCTTTGATAGTATTTTGTTCAAAATTTTTACATCAAAATTCATTAGGGAAATTGGTCTATAATTTTCTTTCTGTGTTTCAGCTCTTCCTGGTTTAGGTATCAGCATCATATTTGTGTCATAAAAGAAATTTGGCAGGCCTCTTTCACCATTTTTCCCAAATTATTTATATAATATTAGAATTAATTGTTCTTTAAATGCTTGGCAGAAATCACTTGTTGAGCCCATGTGTCCCTGGAGATTTTTTCTTAGAGAGTTCATTAATGGTTAGTTCAATTTCTTTTTCTAAGATAGGATTATTTAGGCATTTTGTTTCCTCAGCTTTTAATCTATGTAATTTTTATTTTTGTAAATTTTCAATGATTTTGCTCAGGTTGTCAGATTTATTATTATTATTATTATTTTGGAGGCAGTGGGGGTTGTGATATGTCCAGGGTCACACAACTAGCTAATAAGTGTCTGAGGCTAGACTCAGGTCCTCCTGACTCCAGGCTGGTGCTATATCCACTGTGCCACCTAGCTGCCCCCAGGTTGTCAGATTTAATAGCAAAAAAATTAGGCAAAATATTTCCTAATGATTATTTAATTTCTTCTTCATTGGTGGTGATTTCACCTGTTTCATTTTTGATACTGGATATTTGATTTTCTTTTTTTTTTTAATCATGTTAACCAATAGTTTATCTATTTTATTATTATTTTTTTCATAAAACCAGTTTCTAATTTTATTAGCTCAATAGTTTTCTTACTTTTAATTTCATTAATCTCACCTTTGGTTTTAAGGATTTCCTACTTAATGCTCAATTGGAGATTTTTTGTTTGTTGTTGTTCTAGTTTTTTTTTTTTATTTTCATGCCCAAATTTATTGATCTGCTTTTTCTCTATTTTGTTGATGTAAGAATTTAGAGAAATGAAATTTTCCCTAAGTACTGCTTTGGCAGTATTCTATAAATTTTGGTATGTTGTCTCACTGTTGTCATTTTCTTTGGTGAAATTATTAATTGTTTCTGTGATTTGTTCTTTGACCTACTCATTCTTTAGAATTAGATTATTTAGTTTCCAGTTAATTTTTAATCTATCTTTCCACAGTCCTTTGTTGAATGTAATTTTTTATTGCATTATGATCTGAAAAGACTAAATTTAGTAATTAATTCTGCCTTTCTACATTTTATTTTGATATTTTTATGCCCTAATACATGATCAGTTTTTGTGTAGGTGCCATGTGCTACTGAGAAAAAGGTATATTCTTTTCTGTTCCACATTCAATTTTCTCCAAAGGTCTGTCATATCTAACTTTTCTAATATTATATTCACCTCATTAATTTCTTTTTTCTTTTTTTTGGTTGGATTTATTAGGGTAGGACAGGGGACGGTAGAGTTCCCCCCCTCCCCAGTATAGTTTTGTTGGCTATTTCTTTCTATAATGCTCTTAACTTCTTTAAGAATTTGGATGCTATACTACTTGGTGCATATATGTTTAGTATTGATATTTCTTCATTGTCTATGGTTTTAGCAAGATGTATTTTCCTTTCTTATCCCTTTTAATTAGATTTTTTTTTTCACTTTTACTTTGTTTGAGATCAGGATTGCTACTCGTGTTTATTTTTTATTTATTTTTTTACTTTAGCTGAAGCATAATAGATTCTGCTCCAGCCCCTTATCTTTACTCTGTGTGTGTCTCTCTGCTTCAAGTGTTTCTGATAAATAACATATTGTAGGATTTTGTTTTTTGATCTACTCTGCTATCTACTTCTGTTTTATGGGAAAGTTCATCCTCCTCACATTCACAGTTATGATTACTACCTGTTTATTTCCCTCCATCCTATTTTTCCTCCTGCTTTTCCTCTCTCTTCTTTTACCCTTTCCCTCATCACCAGTTTTTTGCTTCTGTCTACTGCTTCCCCTGATCTGTCTTCCCTTCTGTCAGTCCTTTCCACTCACCCCCCTTTCTTAATATCTTCCATTCCTACTTTCCTGTTGAGTAAGATATATTCCTATATTGAATATTCAATGGATTATGTATATAATTCCTCTTTGAGCCAATTATCATGTGAGTAAGAATCAAAGGATGCCCACCGCCCACCTTCCCATCTTCCCCTCCATTGTCATAGGTCTTTCATGCCTCTTCATGTGAAATGATTTCCCCCATTCTGCCTCTCCCTTCTTTCTGCACTTAGTGTACACCTGTTTCTCATCCCTTTTATGTGATTCTCTTAAATTCACTTTCTACCTATACCCTCTGTCTATGTACATTCCTTCTAGCTGTACTATTAGTAGTACAAACTTAAGAATTACAAGTATCATCTTCCCATGTAGGGATAATAAACAGTTTAGTTCTATTGAATCCCTTACGTTTTATTTTTCCTTTTTATATTTTATGCTTCTCTTGAGTCTTGACTTTGGAGATCAGATTTTTTGTTCAATTCTTGTCTTCTTATGAAAGCTTGAAATCCTTCTTTTTCATTGAATGACCATTTTTTTCCTTGAAGTATTATGCTCAGTTTCACTAGGTGAGTGATTCTTGGTTATAGTCTTAACTCTTTTGCCTTCCAGAATATCATGTTATATGATTTCTGATCCTTTTAATGTTGCAGCTGCTAAATCCTGTGTAATCCTGATTGTGGCTCACTAATATTTGAATTATTTCTTTCTGGCCACTTACAGTATTTTTCCCTTGACCTGATAATTCTGAAATTTGGCTATAATATTCCTTGGAGTTTTTATTTTGTAATCTTTTTTTTGAGGTAATAGGTGGAATATTTCAATGCCTATTTTGCCCTCTGGTTCCAGGATATCACGGCAGTTTTCCTTCATAATTTCTTGAAAGATGCTGTCCAGGTCCTCTTTTTGATTATGATTTTCAGGTAGTCCAGTGATTCTGAAATTACCTCTCCTATATCTATTTTTCTCAGTTGTTTTTGTAATGAGGTCTTTTATATTTTCTTCTATTTTTTTCATTCTTTTGATTTTGTTTGATTGATTCTTGATGTCTTACAGAGACATTAGCTTTCACTTGCCCGATTCTAATTTTTAAAGAATTTTTTTCCTCAATTAGCTTTTGTACCTCTTTTTCCCTTTGGCCAACTTTTGAAGGAAGTTTTCTTCAGTGAATTTTTTACACATCTTTTTCCATTTTTTGTGCTTCTTTTACTAAGTTTTTTTTCTCTTTTTTCATGATTCTGTTGCATGATTCTCATTTCTTTTCCCAATTTTTCTTCTATCTCTCTTATTTGACTTATAGACTCCTTTTTGAGTTCTTTCTGGGCTTGAGATCAATTCATATTTTTCTTTGGGGCTTTACTCTGACTTTGTTGTCTCCTGAGTTTGTGTCTTGATCTTCCCTCTCACCCTAAGTTTCTATGGTCAGATTACATTTTTCTTGTGTTGTGTTGTTTTTTTTTTTTACTCATCTTTTCTGGCCTTTCTCCTTACTTTTAAATTTGCATTCTGCTCCTGGGATTTAAGGGGCACTCTACCAAGCTTCTTGTGCCAGGGGCTACAGGCCCTTATTGTTTGCCTGATGCTGTAATTGATGTTGCCCTGAGGCCCAAGGTGGAAATTCCTGTCTGGTGCTGTGCTGAGTGGGTGAGATGAAGGGTGGCTGTCACTTCTGGAGTCTGTATGGGTCTGGCAGCATGCCTGGTGCTGAATCAGGGTGTCACATACTGGTGGCTGCCTGTTCAGCTGGCTGTTTTGGCTTATGTGGGGGATCCCAGCGTTGGCATCTACCTCTTTGCCAAGGGCAATGCTGAAGCACTTGGCAGTTAAGCTGCTGGAGACTGTTTGCCCCAGGCTGTGCTGAAGCATAGCAGATTTTGGAGCTGGAGCTGGAGCCAGTTTTCCTGCTTATGCTGAAGTATGTGAGGGGTCCTGGTGTTGGGGTTTTTCTGCTCCATCACATTGGGGCTCAGGACCTCCTGCTGGTTTGCTGAGGCAGGGCTTGTTGGGATACTTCTTTTCCTGGACTACACTGTCCTTTTACTCAAGTGAAACAGAACTTCTTTGGCAACCTTCTAAGTTTCTTGGGCTAGAAGATTGTTTCACCCTGTCTTTTTGCTTTTTCTGATGTTCTAGGATTCTTTTGGGGGTGCTGTGTTTTGACTGTTCGGAGGTGAATATGGGAGAATTATAGCAATTTCCTGCTTACTCTGCCACCTTGACTTCTGTAAATCTTTTTTTCTTATTTTTTTATTTCTTTTCTTCTATGTATACATAAACTAACTTTCCTTTTCCTCATCTTTTTCAGAACATAGAGCAGTAATGGAAACTGCTTTTGTATATGGAACTGCTTATCAGTTTGTATTAACTACAGAAACTGCCCTTTTGGAAGGAATTGGGTATGTATTTAAGGTACCTGTCAAAAATGTTAAACATTTATTCACTTATTTAAAATCAATTATGATAACTGAAAATAAACATTTTAAAGGCAAGCTAGGTTTCGTCTTTTGAGATAAATGTATGAAAGAAATTTGATATCATTTTCCTTTCTAATGACTGCTGTGTTGAAATATATAAAACAATTAAACAACATAATGTGTATAACAAATAAAATTTCTTCTATCCCATTGGTGAAAAGCATTTTTGGTAAGACACTGTTCTGCCTAGTTAATCAAGACAATAATCTAAGCATCCAATTAAAGCTTTTTAAAATATTTAACCTAAATGGCCTAACAGGGATACTAGAGACTAACAGATTACCTCAGTCACCCTGAAAGTCTTTACAGAATTGTTAGTCTACTGTTATACCATAATAGTCTTATTCTGTATTTATAATTTACATAGAATGTTTTCTTATTAATGTTTATTTTCCAGTTCAGCTTATAGTTTTTTTGACAAGAAAAGTAAAGTGTAAAATAAAAGTACCTCACATTCACATGGCAGTTTATAGTTTGCAGAGTGATTTTCTTGTAACATCTTATGAAGTAGATAGTAAAAGCATTATTATCATGGTTATTATTCCCATTATATACATGTGAGAATTGAGACTCCCAGAGACTCTGACTCTTCTAAAATAATATGGTTCTTAAGTATCAACCTGAATTTTCAGATTACAAGTCCAGGCTTTTTTTTTTTGTTCATATATCACAACTTGGGACCTTTTAATTCTTCTCTTTTGAAAATTAATATTACTCAGATTTCAGTTTATTGAGAGATACTATCAGAAAGGAAACAATTCCTACATGTTTTCAAGTGTCAGGAATTACCAGAAGTTTTTTAATACTCTAAGTAATTTCAATTTAAATAGTAGAATAGGATCTGGAAACTTAAAAAAACACAAAAAGCTAGGGACACTGATTCCATAGGAGTGAAGGGAAATCAGCCCAGGACCACATACTAAGTAAAAATCAATGTTGATGGAACTAGGGTTGGTCATGTCATTTTTTTTTTGATGGGGGGAGGGTTGAGGGGGGAATTTAAAAATTAGATACATAAAACATATTGAAAAAATATAAACCAGTACAACAGTTCCATATTGTGACCAGTTAAAGAAAAGATAATAAGTGAGGGGAGAAAGACTGGCAAAGAAATACTATGAGCAGGAAGAGGATAGGGAAAGAACCAACCTGAACAAGAGAGAAAGAGAAAGAGACCAGCATTTCTTTTTATCTAATCCCTATCTCCTGTCTTACCCCACTTCCCATATCCCCACAGTTTGGCCTGTGGTTTGGTTCAAGTGTCTGTTAAATTTTGTAATAGCAGAATAAATTAATTTTGGGTGTAGTTCAATAGAGTATCATGAAGTCCTGTGAGGAATTAACTTTTTGATATTTTTATTTCAAGGAATGCTTTTCTATCTTTGAGGTATATTATTTTTATATTCAAATGAACTATTAAACTTGAAAGGAAACAATAGTTGTGACGAATGAAAAGTCCAAGAGACATAATTTCTAGGTAATTAATAATCAATTTATTAATTATGGTTAGCAAATAATTAAAAAAAAATAAGGTCAGTGGCACTCTCAAAAGCCAAAAAGGAACCTTGGAGGCTGCTGGATGTTTAAATACCCTTGGAAGAGTGAGTATTCCCAACAGGCAGAAATCAACTCCAATTGGTTAATAATTAATGAAAGAATGAATATTATAATGAGAGGTTGGCTTATTCTAACAAGGGGCTGGGGGACTTGATTTTGATTATGTCACTCTTATGTCTGACAAATAGACTCATCTCTAACCAGACTATCCCTACCTGAGGCAATCTAGACAAAAAGATTATTGTCCACCCAGTCTGGGGTTATGGTAAGAATTCTACTTAGAAAATATGGTCTTCACTCTTTAATCAGAACTAGGCTTTCCCAGTTAGGTGGGGTCCTGCCCAAGACTGACCCCAATCTCATCATCAGCCTTGTTCTTCAGAGGCTTCTTTGACCTAGTAACTAAATGAGGAAATAGTAAGGGAAAAAACAAATCAAAGCCCTGGATCCCCCCATATTAGTTATTAATAATTATTTCTGTAATAGTTGCTAAATTATAACACATTTAAGATAGACACACATCTCCATGTAGTATCAGATTTTTTGTTCTTTCAAAACAATGAGTTTTGAGTTTAAGGTAAGATTAGAAAGTTTATTTGTACTTCATTACATACTTTTATTTAGTATATCTCAATGAAAATACTACTGTACATTTAAAAATAAGTTGACTAGAAAGTGATACTCCTCCATTAAAAAAAAAATCTCTTCTTCCATTGCTGGACTTAGTTTAGAAACTGTCTTTTGAAAGATTTCACTTGCATATTGATGGAGAAAAAATAATATTGTTCTGAAAACATTTTTAAAAATGTTAGTTAATTAAAGTTTATTTTCATCTGTGGTAAAAATGTTGTAACTTAAAAAAAAAAAACAACTTATGCTACCTTTACTTTTATATAGAGGTTTTTGTCTTTTTAACAAAATCTATTGTGATCATAGTCAGTGCATGGAAGACATAGAGGCATAAAAGTACCTATACCATTGGAATCATGGATCCTTCACACACACACACACACACACACACACACACACACACATAAATGCACAGGTACATTGAATCTTAGTAAATATTTTCATCTATCTGTCTTTCATTATTAGGGCTGAAAACTCTGATATAATATCTGGAAGTCTTTTCTTCTTTCACTGCAAAGTTGTCTTAGACTTGACTCAGAAGTGCCGAAAGACTCTATTAGAACAACCATTGACTATATTAAACATTCATCGATTTCTCAAGCTGATGGATGCACCTTTGTTGGTATGTATTAATGATAAATCACAAATATGAATTCAGAGTATTTTTGTTTCATGAATCTAACCTAGATGAATTTCTTTTTCAAAGCTATTACTAGGCGCATTTCTTTCATTTATGTTAGGATACTAGAGAGAACTTTTTTTTTTTAGGCAGCTGGGGTTTATTGACTTGCCTAGGGTCACACGGCTAGTAAGTGTCTGAGGCCACATTTGAACTCAGGTCCTCCTGAATCCAGGGCTGGTGCTCTATCCACTGCGCCACCTAGCTGCCCCTGAGAACTTCTTTTAAAAGTGGATTAAAGAATATAATATTCATACCACCCTTCAAGGAATCTAGTTATGATAGCCTGGAAGATATTACTGAACTCTGTGTATTCTTGAACATAAATGTAATATATGATTATGTACTGGGGATAGATAAGTAAATACAAAGTAATTTCAAGGAGAAAGTGTTAAAAATTGGTAGGGGATTAGAAGATAGGTGTTGTTAACAAAAGACCCACAGGTCAAGGCTGCAGAGGCACCTGAAATGAAACAGAGTCCAATCACCAATTAAAAGTATCTGTTGTCTGAGAAAAAGACTTGTATGGGAGAGAAGATACTGCAAGGGAGCAGGAAGGGAGAGAGAGTTCTCAGCTCCTCAAAGGGGAGTGGAAAAAGGGTGAGATATTATAGTTTATAGAGGCCTTCTCAAAGGAGCAGAGGTTAAGGGATAGGACATCTGTAGACACAAGCCAGGTAGCAGGATGTTTAGAAAGTCCTGAGCAATGTATTGAATCTGCAGCTTCTGCTCAAAGTTGCCCTTGAGCTGATCAAGGCTGGTTCTTTGGTTTCTCGCAGCTATGGGCGTCTCCAAATTTGGCTCAAGTTCACTTGCAAAGGATCACTGGTATGTCAAGTAGCTCTGAGCCTCAGAAATCCTTCTGATTGGTTGGTTGTTATGTAACTCCATTGTCCTGCTCCGTTGTGAAGAAAAATTCTAACATATAGTATAGCCATTACAGAGCACATGTCAACAGTGTCAAGAAAGACCTCATGTAGGAAATAGCACCTTAAGTGGGCTTTAGAAAGGAAGCTAGAGATTCTTAGAGGTAAAGGTAAGAAGAGAGTGCATTTTAGATATGGGGACCACCTGTGCAATGGGCCAGAGGCAGGAGATGTTATGTCATGTAGAGACTACATGATAATAGGAAATAAGACTGAAAAGGTGAGTGGAAGCTATATTACAGAGCACTTTACATTCTAGTCTGAGAATTTTGTATTTTTTCCTAGAAGCAATAAGAAACTACAGAAAATTTATTATAATGAAATAGTCAGGTTTGTATTTTTGTAATGTCAAATTAACACCCATCTGGAAAATGGGCTGCAGAGGTGAAATAATTTAAACAGAAAGACCAGTTGCCTGATTCTGAGACTGTAGAATTCTTGGGACCACACTTTCCTTGTGGTGAACTTTGAGGAGCTTCTTGAAACACCCTTAATTGGCTTTCTGTAGAAGTTCCTTTCTGAAGACCTAAAAGATTACTGTTATAGATTAAATTATGACTGGCCCAGATATTATTATAGGAAGTCAAGAGAGCCTTATCACTTAGAGCACTGCAGAAGTTCTTAGGGCTAAACTTTGGTGAAGTGGAGACTTTGGGAGGTAACTCTGAAATAGGATTTTATTATCTGTATTGCATTTTAGATTTCAAGGGGTGCTCTTTAGAAGTATAACATACTGATCCAGTGGATTTGGGCAAGACAAGATTAACAAAAGCAAAAGACTCTGTGATTTCATGCCTACTAAGAATTTATTTTTGTGTAATTAATTGAGGAGAGGATATGATATTGAACCCCTGAGGAATATTAGTTTAGTTGTTAGCATGTTTTCTGAAGTATGCCATGTTTTCAGGTTCTGTATTTTTGTAAAAAAATTTAGATGATAGCATAGAAGAGCATTTCTGAGATTTGCAGATGACACAAAACTGCAGAGTCATCTAAGTATTAACTGACAGAGTTAGGGTCCTAAAATTTTCAGCTGGATTGAAAATGGGTCAAATCTATCAAAATAAAATTTAATAGGGATAAATATATTTTAGAAGTTATTCTGTTGTTCTATTCTATTCTATTATTCTAAGGCTTTTCTTAAAATGGTTAAGATAGCAAATGAACAGTAAAGGACAAGGACTATATATAGTAATGCATATGAAAAAAGTAGTGCTTTTAGTTTATGGTAAATTTACCACAAGCCAAAAATGTGGTGTGGTTGCTGGAGAGAGAGAAAGAGAGAGAGAGAGAGAGAGAGAGATATTAGTACAGTGTCCAAAACAAAGGCGGTAATAGTCCCATTGTGATTTATGCTGATTAGGCCACATGTAGAATACTATATTCATTAGGCCTCATTTTAAAAGGAATATTCACTAACTATAATACAACCAAGATGGTGAGGAATCTTGAAACAATGTCATGGGAAGAATACTTCAAGGAATTTCTCATTGTTGCCTAGAGGAAAGGCTTGTGAGACTTGGTAGATGCCTTCAAATACTTAAAAGATTGTGGGAAAGGAAACAGATTTCCTCTGTGTTTGAGTTTGTAGCTGGGACATATGAGGATGGAGCTAGGATAAAATAAGTTAGAGAAGGGCTAGTTTTTAAGTTAAAAAAAAAAAAGAACAAAATTTCTAACAACCAAAGCTTTCACATGTGAGCACAAAAGGAATGAGATGTTTTATGAGGTAGCAAATTCTCTATCTTTGTAAAGTTCTAACAGAGACTGAATGACCATCTGTTAGAATTGTTATTAAGGGGAATCCTTCAAAGAATTTGTGTTAAAGTGGAAGCTGTTCTAGATACTTCTAACTAGGACCCTCTCAGATTTTATATTCTGTGATTCTAAATCTTGCTAAAGAGCAATGAAAATAACTGAAAAGGAGGTAGACTAGTCATATAACAGTAGTAAAAGATAACAAATGGACATCTTGAGAGCTCCACTGGTGTGCATGAAATAGCTAAGGAGCAAGAGGGAGGCCCTCTAGTATTCTAATAGATCCTCTTGAACAGGGGTTTTTAACCTGGTATCTGTGAACTTATTTTTTAATATTTTGATTAATTATGTTACTATATAATTGGTTTCCTTTGTAATTTTTATATTCTGTTTTATGCATTAAAACATTATTCTGATAAGGAATTGGTCCATAAGGTTTATCATATTTGCAAAGCAGTTCATGACATAAAGGAGAACCCTTGCTCTCGAATTTTTAGAAAGCAATGGACTAGATTTGCATGAGAAGATGTACATGAATTATAAACTGTACTAATGGAGACTATATCCATACTGATGTGATCACAGATCCATTGAGGTATTACAGTATCAATTTCCAAATCTAAGTTCAGTAGGAAAGAATATGGATTTTGAATATGTTGTGTTTTTAAGACATCCCACAGCAATAGTCTGCTATTATTTAGAAATATGGTTCTAGACCTCAGAAAGAAAAGATGGGAATGGAGATATAGATTTAGGAATCATTTTAGGAGTGATAACTGCATCTGGGAACATAGGAGAACACTAAGGGAAAACAGAAATTATGCGAGCTAAAAATAGAGCCTTGAGGAGGATTTCTACATCTAATTGTTATGAAGAGTCAGAAAATCAGTGGTTAGAATGTTGAGAGCTATGAAAGTACACTTGTTTGTCGAAGCCACTGGAAGGAAGAGAATTAATAATAAGAAGAGTATGGTCAACAGTATTAAGTGCTGTGGAAAGGTCAAGGAAAATCAGGGTTCCTCAGGATAAGTCATTGGGTTTAGAAATAAGGAAAAAGTTCGTTGGTGACTTTAGAGAGAGCAGTTTCAATGGATAAAGCCAAGGCATCAAACACAGATGACTCTATGATTCTTTCTAAAAAATTGTGAGTAATGGGGAGGAGAGAAGTAGGATGATAGATTAAGAGTTTAATAATCTTAAAACACTGAGCCACATTAAGTCTTGGAACCATCTTGCATTCATGCTGAAAAGACTTGAAGATTTTTTGAGCAGCGTTTATAGTGATTTCTTTTTGTCAGATATAAATTGAAATAAAATTTTTGATACATTTAAATTTTTTGCACAGTGAATCACCAATAATCTAGAAACCCATATGGTAAGTGCTTACTTGTCATGCATCCTTTTATACATAATCTTATTAGTAATTTACTTTGAATTTATTTCCATTGTTCCATTGTTCTTCTTTCTAGTTATGTTGTTTTCTCTATAAGCTTACCATTGCTTTTTTGGGGAAGAGGATGGGTGAGGATAAGATGTATATTATACCAAGCTTTTAATCACACATTGTTGTTCAGTTATTCAATCATGTCCAACTCTGCATGACCTCATGGACCACAGCATGCCAGTTTTCTTGGCAAAGATACTAGAGTGGTTTACCATTTCCTTCTCCAGTGGATTAAGGCAAACAGAGATTAAGTGACTTGCCCAGGATTACTACTAGTGAGTGTCTGAGGCTGGATTTGAACTAAGGACTTCTCAGGAAGTCCTGAGAAAAGGAAGGAAATGGCAAACCACTCCAGTATCTTTGCCAAGAAAACCCCATACAAGGTCACAAAGAGTTGGGCATGACTGAATTACAACATCAACAACTTCCTGACTTCAGGGCTAGCACTCTATCTACTGAGCCACCTAGCTACAAGAAGTAAATAAATTGGTTGGTTGGTTGTTGTCCTTTGTTCTTTTCCAGAGGTAAACACATACAGTAGAGGTGAAAGTAAATAAATGGTTAGTAAGTCTAATGCTGGAAAAAAATTTCCTTTTGTTCTTGGACATCTCCCTATTACCATCTCCTTTCCCCATCCCCCATTTCACCTATGATATAATAGATCATTCCATGAAATCATACCATATGCAAGACTAGTTTATAAATTAGGTCTTTTTAAAAAAAAAATTTCGGGGGCAACTAGGTAGCGCAGTAAATAGAGCACCAGCCCTGAAGTCAGGAGGACCTGAGTTCAAATCCAGCCTCAGACCAAACAC